GTGTGGTAGGGGTGTGGTGGGATTAGATCGGGTGGAATTCCCACACTGTGTCTCCAGTGTTGTCCACTGTCGGGCTATGGGTCAGTGAGGATTGTCGTGTCTCATAGTGGGGCAGCCATGTGGTCTTCTCTGTGGATTGGCTGCTCTGAGTGGGAATATCATCCTTAAGGCTTGGTGAGCCAGGAAGTGCTCCACTCTCTTCCTCACCCTTCATTTGTTCCCACATGCTCTGATCAGATATGTCCCTCTTCTGAAGCTGCAGATTCAGTGCTGTCCTCTGAAATAAATTCTTCTGGGGGGACGGGCAGTTGTCCATGTAGGTGTGATTGGGGCTGGCCCCTCAGCCCTCTCCACTGGTTCCCTACTCCATGCTGGCATGTTGCATTTGCATCTTGGAGCACCGGTTTGAAGTCTGGCCCCTCTTTCCCTGTGGAGATATAAACAATATCCTCCCCTTGCATGGGTTAATGCCCTGTGCTGCCGCTACCCATTTCTTTTTAATTTTTTTCATGCTGGATCTATTTTCATTTTTACAAATTGAACATAATGAATGCATAGTGATTCATCACCAAACACTATATATTGTGAAATACTTATTTCTAATGACAAATAAATGAAATTTTGTCTTGAAGCATGGTGTAGCATGGGTAACAGTCTTCACACCAGGTTCCCATATGTGGGTGTATCTGCATGTGGGCCGACCCACCTGGAGACCATAGAGGAGCGGTGTCTTGGTTCCTGAGACCATCCGAAAAATGTGTTTTCTAATGTTCTTAGGCGACCCCTGTGAAAGGGTTGTTTGGCCCCTAAAGGGGTCATGGCCTACTGGTTGAGAACCGCTGCTTTATGGGAATTCCATAGGAAATAAGCCTCTGGTGATCTCCCTCTGTCCATCCTAGAGGGATGGGAGGAAAGTGGTTACCAAACAGGGTGCATTGGAGAGATAACAATGGAAGATCAAAATGATAAACCTGACTTGAACAATTAAAACCTTGTCATTTGGTCCCCGCACTGAATTACGTAAGGTCTGGTCGGGTTTTCAATATTTTCTGTATTGTTGTTTTTCTTTGTACATCTTGTGGTTTATCTCAGATGTGTTATGTCATGGGGGGCGGGTGTCACTCTCTTGAGTTTTTGTTGTATGTGTTTCTGTTTTCAGTATTTGAAACCCAGGGATTATGAATCTAAAGGGACAGCGGGTAGAATAAGGGTTTAATATTCTAAAAGGTGCTAAAAGGAAGCCGATGTCAAGGAATTCAGGAAGGAAAAGAAGGTTTTGAAATTGACCGTGGTAGCAATTGTACAATACTGCTTGATGGGACGGAACTATGGGATGGTATGATATCTGTATTCATTCCCAGTAAAATGGTTTTGGAAAGAAAAAAAAGTACAAACGTCACCCTTCCATGAGGTCCCTCTTTGTGTTCCCGCCGTGCTCGGTGCACCCACTCCCGTGCTCTTTTCCTTTCAGAGCGCAGAGTCGACCGCGAGGACCAGCAGGCGGTGGACGAGATGAGAGCGAGATGCTTCTCCCCAGCGCTCGTAACAGCAGCGCCCTGGGAAGGCTTTTGTTTTGCCGGCCACGAGATCCGCATCACTGAAGCCGTGGATTGTTTCGGTGCTGTTGTTTGGCCATCGGTATGATTTCTTACCAAGTTTGCTACCTTTCACTCATTTTAAGTCACTTTTCTTTATTACTATGATGTACTTGAAAGAAGAAGATGGATTCCATCATTCTACTTTGTTACTTCAAACACTAATATGTTAGAGACCACACTCTTGGGAATTTGCTTCCACCAATTCTATTTCTGACTTTTAGGAAAGTCAGGTTAACGCAGAGATTGGTGTCGACACTCTCGGGTTTTAAAAAATGACTGTATGAATTTAGAATAGGAAAAATATAATTCCGAATTCAACTGGCTCCTTTTTGCTGAATGAGTAGATTAAACTTTGTTCAAGTCTCAACACATGGTATATTTGGAAAGGCCGCCCCATCTTTCCCGATTATCCCAAGAAGGGTGACAGAGCCGCCCCACTGCTGCCTGTCCTGAGCCCACACACTTCTTGTTTTGTCTCTTTCAAATTGCAGTTTGGGTGAAAATCTACAGAACAAAGTAATTTTCCACTCAATAATTGATACACTTTTATTTTAAGATAGTGGTTGCTGTTCCGGCAATGTAACAGCGCACTGGATACGTCTTTTCTGGCTTCTCCATTTCCATGTGTCCTTCTGGCCCCTCCTTGAATTCTGAGTTCTATTTTTGGGCACGTGCTGCCATCCCGGTCGTGTAAGCTTGATTGTACTGAGAGCACCATCCTCCCTAGTGCTCTTACCACATTGTAAGCCCGGCTATTGTTTGCCTGAAAGTTCATCTCTGGAGGTGAGTCCAGGTCTAGACTTGAAGTATTTCTAAGGGTCACAATGCCAAAAAGTTCCAGGGGTCTCTACTATACCAATAATTCTTGTCTTTTTTATGCTTTTGAATTTTGTTCTATGTCTTTTTCCTTCTCCCCATCTGCCCAAGACTTTCTATTGTCACACACGTCTTTGAAATGGCTCTTGTTATTAGAACTTACTTCCTTTCGAGGCCATCAAAACTGAGCACCTGAACTCCGACATTATTAGGTTTTATCTCTGCCATCCTCCCCACTATCCCCAAGGACTTTTCCTAGGGTACATGGGGACCCTATCAGAGTGTACACTTTCTGCTGACATTCTGCAATAATGTGTGTGCGCTTCATATAAAAAAAGAAAAAATGTATTGCGACTAGGGATCTGGTTTATATATGCCTGGGTTTACTCCAAACAAAACCTATTTGAACATATCTGTGAGTCGTGGTGACTGCAGGCAAAACCGCTCAGCACTACTTGTCTTCGTCTCATTCCAAAAAGTAACTTCACTGAGATCAAGCCAATCCTGGCACATAGTGACCCTGGATCCGAGTCCTGGTTCCTACCCTCGCAGGAGCGCAAAGTAGGCTACCATTGGGCTGCTGATGGCCAGATCAACAGTCTCTCCATGGGGGAGAACGAAGCCCCCTACTCCCATGAAGATTTATAGTCTCAGAAACACACAGGACAGTTCCACTCTGTCCTATAGGGTTAGGTTCAGTAGCGTGCCTTAAAAAAAGGTCCAATCAAAACAGTGACTTTTGAGAGGATCCTGTAGGACAGTTAAACTCAAGGCAGAGAGGGCATCTCAGAAGATGATGGCAAATGGTTTTGAGGATTCCAAGAAATAATCTTGATATGCATTCTAGAAAGATGGAGAGTGATCATTGGGGCTTCTTATAAAGAACTTGTAAGAAATTGGAAAACAGCATTTGGTGAGAAAAAGACTAGGAAATCTGCATCAAGAGTTTGTTTCCATCACAGCCATGTATGTGCTCATTATCTGAGGGCAGCAATGGCTGCTGTAGGAGAACTGCTTTGGGGAACCTTATCATACTCATCCTACAGCCGTGATCTTGACCCTTCAGACTCGGGTTTTGTTTCCATTACCCAATACTTGGAAAGGAACATGATTTGAGACCCTCAAGGCCGTGAGAGCTGCTGTTTTGACCAGCAGTAAGTGGAAGAGCCACAGTTCCTTGGGGAAGGGTTAGAGCCCACCCTTCAGAATTCTACACACCTACCTGGAATATATATGGAGAAACAATAGCTTCACATTTTGATGTTTTTCCTTAGTAAAGGTTTCTATGATTTTGCAGCAGTACTTTTGACTTGCAACAGCAAGTCATTATTTGCAAAGCATTGCAATAATTTTTGTGGAAACGGAGTTAAAAGGTAATGACAAATTTCCACAAGCTTTTTGAAGGCCTCTTCTATATACATACACTCACACATGCACCCGGACACATAGTATGTCATTGGTGGAATCTATTAAATCTAACAGAGCTTAATTTGCTTTCTGTTATTACCTCTTTTTAATTTTATTTATTGATTTTTATAGGCTCTGGTTCTATGCTATTTTCTGGAAACGAATGCAAAGCAATACAATATAGTGGATAAAAATGTAATTGAAATTGGAGCTGGGACAGGGCTTGTCTCTATTGTGGCAACTCTCCTAGGTAAGTATATTTAAAAGACATTTTATTGAATAAGATCAAATAGCCCTAGTTGCTTTTACTATACAGTCAACTGTGACCTGGTCCTATCTTGACTCCTTGTTAGTTGAGCGAGTTCAATCAAGAAACGACCTATGGTCAAGTCACATTAGTCTCCTTCAAAATTGTAGCTGGAAGTTGCCTTCATCCTCTTTGTGATGTGCCAAGTCAGCTAAACCAGATATTCTAAATGGAAGGTGGGCCTAAACACCTTGATGGCTAGAGAACATGCGTAAAAATACTATCCATAGTTAGAATCGATTGCTGTTAATTCTGAGGTGCTTTAGCTTTACATCAGTGCCTTCGTATAGCTGTAGTTTCCTTTTGGATGTTGAAGTCCCATGCTGCTCTGTCTCTCACTTTTCAGGTAGGTTTGATAATTCATTGAAATGGCCACACAGAACTCATAGGTAATGCTCATGATTATGTGGCTTATTAGGGAAGTAAACAGATTATAATTCAGGTGAGCAGGCTCAGGATACAGTTCAAGACAGTTTCTTCTCTGCCATGCTTGCAGGCAGGCCTCCCTGTACTTCACTACTTAGGTTGGCCTCTGCCCTGCGTGAACAATATGACAAAGCTCTTTTAAGGCATGCCACTCTGCTGTAAGTCCCAACCCGAAGAGACTCTACAACTCTGGAGTCAGCAAATTCAGCTCCTCCAATTAAGTGTGCAGAGGGACTCCACTCCACAAACCAGACTCTTGCCCGCCAATACTCACTTTTACTTGCCCTGTGGACTGTGAGGTCCACAGCTTTGTGTCATGATCTGGCTCTGCTGCTGTTGCTTCTCTGCCACTCTGGTGTCGAACCTGTCTCCAGCGCCAAGGAAGTTCAACGTGCAGGGATTTGGGGATCCAATGTACATGCCTTACTCTTGGCTTTTCTCTCTTGCTTGTACTGAGATTCCTCTTTCTTGATTCAGAGATGGTTCATCTCATACCGATCAGGATGGAAATAACAATTAATATTGTGAACAATCACTCATAACTGAGTCCTATCTGTAGCCTTCCCTACTTCTCTTACACAGATTTGTGGTTTAGAGGGTGTTACAGAGACTGGCTGAAAGAGCGTTTCGTGGGAATTACAGAGCCACATTAAATAATCTGCTGCATTACATATGAGATTATGAAGAAGCTGGTACAGTAAGGTTGAACCAAACTCACTGCCATTGAGTCCACTCTGACTCATAGTGACCCTATAGGACAGGGTAGAACTTCACAGGAATAGACTCATTGATTGCCATCATGTCTCAAGTCCATTCTGACTCATGGCAGCCCTATAGGACAGGGTAGAACTGCCACTGTGGGTTTCTGAGACTCAACCTGTGGGTTGCGACCCCTTTGGGGGTCGTACTACCCTTTCACAGGGGTCACCTAAGACCTGCATCTCTATTCATCCTCAGGCATATCCACCCACATGCAGATATGCTGATCTGGTGAGAAAGAAGCTATCTCAACCTTTGCACTGATGTTGGTTTTTTATGCATACTGTCACAAAATGTAGCAACTTTATTACTGTGGTTATATTAAAACTGTTACCCATGCTACACCATGCTTCAAGACAAAATTTCGTCTATTTGTAATTAGAAATATATATTTCACAATATATAATTACATATTGTTTTTGTGATGAATCACTATGCTTTATTGATGTTCAATTTGTAACAATGAAAATACATCCTGTATATCAGATATTTACATTATGATTCATAACAGTAGCAAAATTACAGTTATGAAGTAACAGCTAAAATAATTTTATGGTTGGGGGGGTCACCACAACATGAAGAACTGTATTAAAGGGTCACAGCATTAGAAAGGTTGAGAACCATTACTTTACAGGAATTGAGAGCCTCTTCTTTCAGACCAGGATCAGCTAGTGGTTTCAAACTGCTGACCTTGTGGTTAGCAGCCTGATACATAACTATTATGCCACCAGGGCTCCCCATGGGAATAAAAAGACCTCTCTCTGAGTGTCTGGTGGTTTCAAACTGTTGTCCTAGCAGGCAGCAACTCAATGTGTAACTGCTACACCAGCCACAAGGGCTCCCAAATGAGGTAATATTAGAAATCGCATAGTTTGCATTGTCCGCTTCTATTTTTAGGTGTTTGTCCTTGAATTTGAAGGAGATCAGGTTAAGTGACAGGCTGCTAGCTGATAGGTCAGCAGTCTGTTTCCATGTATCACCTCAGAAACCCTACGGAGCCCTTCCACCCTGCCCTCCGGAGTCCCTGTGAGTCAGGACTGACCTGACAGCAGTGGCTTGGTTTTCCTGGTGCTGGGGTTGGCTTTTGGAGTTCTTTCCATTTCATGAGATTGTGTTCTCTCGCCACCATCTTCTTGAGGCTATTGAAACGTGTGTTAGTTTCTATGTATGCCTCAGCCGGTTCCATGTCAATCTTTTGTTGCTGTTGTCTATTTCATTGTCGTCTTAATTTAGCTGCTGTCTCTGATGTACACCACCCTCATCTGTATTGATCTCCTTGATTTTCAGAATGCACACCTGCTACTCTAAAATCTTTTTTGAGAGGTGTTCTGATTTAGCAATGTGCGACTTCTTAAACACTGGGAAATAAGGGCCCTTGAAGGTCCTACCTAATATTGAAAAAAAAAATTGCCCCATCTTGAGAGATAATAATCACTCTCCAATGTCATCATTCCATTTAGTATGGACAGAGTCAGCATCAGCATTTGATTTATAACTAAAGACCCTTGACTGAGGACCAGAATCTGTATTTTGGAATGTCATTATTTTCATTAAGACAATTTGCTCTATTCATTTTACCTGTGCAACTTTAAATATATATTAAGAAAAGAAGGCTATGTTTAGTCAGTATTCCCAAAGTGGTTGTGTCTCCCCGCTTATAGTCAAAGGTCCTAAGTGTATCATCAGAATAGAGACACTGTAAGTTGAAGTTGACTCCCTGGCAAAGGAAGTGCAATGGCAGGCAGTAACCATTGTCGTGGGACTCTAAGGAGGTTTATTGAAAATCCGGACTCACTCACATTAAAATATCCCTATCCCTGTGATTCTAGTAATGCACATATCTATCTTCAGTTTTAATATTGTTATAAAATATATGCAATGGCCAGAGATATTTGACATTGTGGCCAAGGGATGGGTGGTAATTTAGTCTGAGCTGAACTGGACTCTGCTTCCAGCTCTATTTTCTAACTCTTTGTCCTACTGTGTTCTTGTCTGATGTTGTGGAATTGGACAATCCTATATTTATTTAGATTATTTTCATCCTATGCTACGGCTCAAAGTACACTTTAAGAACCTATTTTATTAGTTATATGTGCATTTATTTCTATAAGTTTGTTTCTTCTACTTTCTTGCTTAAAATAACCGCAATTCCATTTTCAGAGTTCATACCTTCCTCACTTGAGCATGCTGTCCTTCATGAATACTATATACATGTTGGGGATAAGTTTTAAAAATCTTTTAGTGGAAAGATTCACACTTATGAAACTTGGACATGAGCATGGATACCATGATGCTTTTAATGTAATACCATTGAAATATTCTTTCTTCTCTTTACTTATCACATTTGAGCATTTCCTTCTCAACTATCAGATACCAAGGTCATCTATGGGCATTTCGTCTGACTCTTAGGTGGCCCAGATCTTTCAGGGTAATACTTATTCATCCGTCATGAATGACTTCTAATTGTTCCAGCGAGGGCACCAGCTCTTTTCAAATTCCCCTTTTCTCAATCACTTTTCTTCTAGGGTGTAGTAGATAAACAGACACCACCACCGCCACTACCAGCAACAGCAACAACACAAAAACAAAAGCAAATAAAAAACCAACACCAAGCCAGGAGAACAGAAAAATGCAATGAAGCACTCAAATACCATCGGACTCTTAAGGTTTAACAATTAGTTTAATAGAAACTTTGAGAGGACTTCAAATGACTCATGGGAAAAATGGAATTAAAAGACAATGCAATTTCCCCGCAAACATTTGAAGCCCCTTTGCACATATCACCCATTGGCAGCCATTTTGTAAAGAATTCCCCTTCTGTGTGTATATATATGGGCCACTCCTTTTCTGGGACTAGCCATTATGCATAAATGTAGAATGTATGCCGGCTTAAAACTTGGACCTCATCCCCATGCAGGTTATTTTGTCTGCTGTCCTATGTTTCACAGGTGCGCGTGTGACTGCCACAGACTTACCTGAATTACTTGGAAATCTGCAATATAATATTTCCCGAAATACCAAAATGAAATGCAAACACCTGCCTCAGGTTAAAGAGCTCTCCTGGGGAGTTGCTCTAGATACGAACTTCCCCAGATCTTCAAACAATTTTGACTACATCCTGGCAGCGGATGTGGTCTACGCTCATCCTTTTCTGGAAGAACTCCTCATTACCTTTGACCATCTGTGCAAAGACACTACCATCATCCTCTGGGTTATGCAATTCAGGTTGGAGAAAGAAAATAAATTTGTCGATAGATTTAAGGAGTTGTTTGATCTGGAGGAAATTTCCAGATTCCCAAGCCTGAATATTAAGTTGTATAAAGCTATGAAGAAAAATCGGAGAAGTGCATGATATCCTCAAGTAAAGATTTGGACGTGTTAAACTTATTTGCAATAGATTATTACTTTAAAGATGATCCTGAATAATCCGATTAACCATGTTTTCCCCAGCAAGCAAGCAAACACACACACACACACACACAACACACACACACACACACACACACACACACACACACACACCACTATGAGTATAGAAAACAGTTCCTCAACTTTGCCTTCCTCCAGGCAGAGATTTCTCAAGATACAATAAATGAGTCCAGAGGATTGAGGATCCAAGTCTTGTCTACATCAGGATTCAGAGCTGCTTTCAACTGAGATAGTAACATGAATTGTTGTCAAAGTCATAGTGTATGGTCATAACATGTTTGCATTGCTTGTCCCTCCTTAGCACTCCATGCAATGATCCTTTTTTAGTGTATAACTGCAGAATGGTAGGTTTTAATCATGCTATCACTAACATCAATATTGTTAATTATTTAAGTATAGGATTACATACTTCTCTCTTTAGGAATATAGAAATGGACTATAGTGGGATCTACAAATACATCTGAATAGCAGATGCACAATGGGAAATATTAGACTATTGTGGTTTTTATTAGTGCCGACTTATAGGTGGTCTATCAATCTGCTTTGCAGGGTGGGCCTCAACTGCAACCTCAGAAAGCATTCAAGCTTGTGGATTTGAGGTTATGAGCAAGGGTATTTTATTCTATTAAGGGAAAACTGAATGGAAGCAAGCGTAAACATAGTTGATATTTTAGGGAATTGTTTTATTTTAAAGCTAAGTACAGTTATTTTGTATCACAGCAACAGAAATAGATATAAAAACTTAGGGTTGAAAATGCATACAAAAAGGGTTAGGCCTCTAATCTCAAATAGCCAGACATATACCTAGTTTTAAAATGTAAATCTCTTTTGATGATTGTATATAGAACTAGATCTTTGAAATCCTATGTGATTTTTTACATGGGCTTTAGAGATTAGAATGAAATCTGAAGTAATTAAAGTCCAGGCAAGGGAGCAAAAACATTAGAGTTTCGTGCTATGTAACTGCTTAGCCAGTATTAGCTGGTAACTACTCTGCAGTGTCCCAGGTGATGCTGCGTAGTTGTCATTGTGCCCTTGGAGTGAACCCACTTCCTAGGATTAGTCCTTTCAACTTTGCTGAAAGTTGTCCATCCACTTAAATCCGGGCCAGGATGAAATACTATTTCCTATAGCCCTGATCTGTAAACCACATTGCAAATATACGCCCAGTGGATTTTTTTGTATGTGTGTCATTTTTCAATAATTCCCAATTTACATGGCTCTTTATAGGTTTCACAATGTGTTATTTAATCCTCATAAGTACATTAAGAAATGTAAGTAATATTATCGCATTGAGGATAGGAAGACTAAGAGGACTGGCCTCAGGCCACACATATGCAGCGTGGAAGAGCTGGGGCATTCAAATTCAAGTCAGTTCTTATCACTACACTTTATATAAGTATTTACAAGTCATTGTCAAACTTTTCTTTAAAAAGCCTAGGGTAGTCATTTACAACAAATGAAATATATATCCAGGAAAGTCAACAAATACATTAGAAAGAATAAGAAAAGAATTTGTCCTTCTTAAAATGTATTTTTTATTTCTCCCTACTGCACCTGAGTTGTCAGGGAGGCTCATTTAGAAAGTGACATTAATACAAATTGGAAATAGTTGAGGCCCTGGTAGTGAAACGGTTATGTGTTGGGCTGCGATCGCCAAGCTCACCAGTTAGAAACCATAAGCCTCTCCTACAGTCTCACAGGACTGTTCTTCCCTGTCCTATGGGGTCACTATGAGTCAGAAATTAACAGTGAGTTTGTGTTTGATCTGGTGAAGAAGGAAACCTGGTGATGCCCTGGGTGAGGCATTGGGCTGTTGTTACCTGCAAGCTCAAGTTCAAAAGTTGCTGCTGTGCAAGAGGATGAAAGATTAGGCTGTCTGCTTCCATAAGGAATTCCAGTTGCTGGAGACACTATAGTAGGTTACTCTGAGTTGGAATCAGTTACTTTTGTTTTGTGTACCTGCAGAAGAGTGGTCCAAGTGGAGGCAATAGCCATGCAAGGACCTTAAGATGGAAGCATGCTAACCCTCTCGATGTGGAAGGAGGACCAGTGTGCTGAAGCACAGGTGAGGTATGAAGTCGGCTCACAGAGGACCTATGAGCAAGTTATGGGCAGGCTTCACTGGAAACAAACTAAGATAGAATTTGGTATGTAGGCCATTATTTTTAGGTAGTTCCATTGGAATCAGGATAGATGGAAAGGAGACGAAGAAAGCAGAAAGCAGGCCAGCAATAGATTTCCCAACCACAGCCTCGGCCACCTACCACACGGGGGCGCTAGACCTAGAATGGCCACCAGAGTACTGTAGTTCTAAAGTTGGGCCCGCGGGCTGTCTGTCCTAGGAAGACTCTGTGACCTTTAGTGAGGTTACTGTCTTGAGCTGAGACGATTCCTGGAGGGGCTGACAGCTGTCGGCCAGCAGCCCTTCCAGTAGCAGGGTAATCAGTCATTCTGACGCGGAGCTGGGCAGCACAGCCACAGCTCTGAAGGCCATTGAAAAAAAACCTGGGTTTTTATTCTGGTGAAATGGAGAGCCCCGGGATAGTTTGAGCAGAGGAGTGAAATGGTGTTATGGCTGCAAGCACTACTCTGGCAGGGATTTGAGAATAGAATCTAGGGGAAAGGTTAGGTATAAGAGACTGCTGAAGAGGCTGGGTAGCAGCCATCGAGGCGAGAGAATTGGTATCTGATAGCAGGACATTTTCACTGGAGGTGGTAAATGCTCAGTTCTTGATGTGTTTGGAAGGTAGGGGCATCAGATCATCCACTTTCTAGAACATGGGGTGAAATGCAAATGGAGAGAAATGAAGGAACAGAGAAGAATCAAGAATGAGTCAGCGCTGACTGAGAATGACCTCACATGCGACAGAGAACAGTACACCATAAGATTTTAACAACTGTTTTTCTGGAAACTGATAGCCAGAACGTTCCCCTGATCTACCTACTGCTGAATGAACTGGACCACCGCTGAGCATGTGAACCATGGGTGTCTCATGAATTTAGTTTATCAAGTTTACTAAAGAAGCAAGAAATAGAAAGAATAAAATAGGGCCTGAGCCCTGAGGCATGACATTAAGAGATCAGATATAGAGGTATTTAGAGGTGACTTTTTTTTTCCTTTTTTTTCTTTTTAAGGTTTATCTTCCCACTGCTAAAGTTATGTTAGTATCTGTTGACTTTGAAAGATCATTGTTAAATACGGCAATGATTTTTGAACTTGTCTGTAGAATTCCAAAGTGCCTCAGGGCTGCCTTAGGCCTAGGTGTTTTAAGTATAGCAACAGAGACCTTGCGATAGATTTTTTAAAAAAAGAAAAGTCTCCTCTTCTGAAAAATGTTTAAAAAATAACTACACAGTTATTTTAGGTAGAATAAATAAAGTGTCCTTTCTGAGACCAATCAAACCATATGGTTCTTTCAAGTTCTTTTTCAGGGTGTCAATCTGTCAAGCACAATGTTTAATATCCATTGTTTTTGTTCTGTTTATAGCATTCATTTGCAAGTTTTAACACCCACCCCACGCTCCATGCCTCTCCGGCCTCACTTCATTGTATGTACGTGTCTCGTCTGTGTCATTTTGCTGCTGCCATCTCTCTGTATTTTTTTTTCCGATTTGAAGAGTAGGCTTCTTCTATTTGACAATTTTTCAATGGCTAGGAATTAAATCTGTGAACTTCAATCCATGAGGGTTTTACCTGAATTTCACCTTTCCCCTCATTTTTATCTGGCTTTTTGACAAGTTAGACTAGGTTCCTAAAAATCAGAGTCCAGTTCTGGATGTCGCTTTCTGGGCTTCCAATAGAATCTACCTATCTATTGCCAAATCTTTTAGTAGAAGTTAGTCTAGATTACGGTTGCTCCAGAGGAGACATACTGATGTAATGATAAGAGTGGTTAGTGTATCCTAGACCCTAGCAGCTGAATCAACTGTATTAAATTCTTCTGTTTTAGAGTTTACTGATATATTATTCTATTTGTATGAATTGTAAGATTCTACCAGTATTTGAAAAAAAAATGGCTTTTTAAATTGCATCTTTATATCTGTTCTTTTCTTTGGGGGGCTGGGCCACATCCTAACAGATTCAGTAGTCAATAGTATAAATCCACTATTGTGGAAGATAGAAAGACAAACATCGTAGAATCTTTGATGGCAGGTCCCAGGACCTTGTTGTTTGTCATGGATGCCTGAGCTTCATAGACAGAGACCAAGTTTAACTTGTTTCCAACATTGCTGTTTGAATGTAAGCAGGTAAATAATTTCTGAATATCCTTTGGAATATCCATGTGGGTTGGGCAGAATTTTGATCCAAGAAAAAAATTGCAGATATGAATGGAGGCATTAGGGTCTAGATATAAAAGAATGTGAAGCTTTCAGTAAATCAGAAACAAAACTTTTGGATGAAAATAAAATATTAATATGTGATGTGTCTGCTTTTTTTGTCATTTTGATTTAGCTTTTATGGAAATTTCTGAGTGGAGAAAGTACGAAAAAAGTCATACACATGCTTTAAATACAAATTATAAGAAAATAGTAGGAGATTGAGATTGTACAACTCTTCTTCTTCTTAAACTATTGAATTGTATAGCTTGTGATTTATATGCCACTAAAACTATTAAAATGATATCGTAGGAAAGAAAACTTGGGTGGAAGCAGGCGAATACTTTTGTACAAGAATGAGGGGATAGGGCCACAGCAATATGAAGAACCCACAGACATTGGTTAGCATGGGTGTGTGGGCAGGGCCCAGTTCTTTATATCTTATTTATGAAGTCTCGTAATCGTTCGCAAACGAGTCCCACATCTAGGATTTGGTTTACTTGAGTGTATGGCATGATACAAAATCTAGAATAATCCCTGCACATAAAATTTCAACTTCTTCCCGCCTTCACATTTCTCACAAAATCACAGATAATGTTCTGTATGATCACACGGCAGTATGAATAGATGTGGCAACCAGCTTCCACAAAGATGACAGCCTGGGACACCATATGGGGCATTTCCACTCTGTCTTACAGGGTCACCATGTGTCAGAATCCCCTTGATGGCAATGACTGTGTTGTTGATGTTTTCGTATTATGTGACAGTTGTATCTTGTGTGAATTAATTAATTGATATCAATTCATCCCATAGTAATATTAGCTCCTTTTACTGAGAACCCTGCGGCTGGGCATTCGTGCTTATTAAGATCGTGTAGCATAGCCATGTATTTGGATGGCTGGGCATGTCCTATGGACTGCTTAGTCTACAGAGCTGGCATTGGGTCTCTGTTAAAGGAGCCCTGGTGTCACAGTGGTTAACTCTCTCAACCACTAATTAGAAGGCCAGTGGTTAGAAGCCATCAGTAGCTTTATGGGACTAAGATGTGGCAGTCTGATTCTGTAAATAAAGATTACTAGGCATGGAAAAACCCAGTGCCATTCAATCAGATTCATGGCGACTCTACATAAGGTTTGGAGGACTATAAATCTTTAGGAAGCAGACAGTCTCATCTCTTTTCCTCTGAGTGACTGGTGTGTTTGAACCACTGACCTTGAGGAAAACATCCTAATATCTAGCCAACAGTGCCACCAGACCTCCTCACTTACATCCTTGAAAACCCTGTAGGGCACTTTTACTCTGACCAGAAAGGTTGCTACGATTCAGAATCAACTTGCCAGCAGGGGGCGAGCCACTATCATAAGGGATGCTTTTACTGAGCCAGCTCAAAGACAAAGACCATATAGGCAGTGCCCAAGACCACCAAGGAGATCCATTCCTAACTGTGCCTCTAAGGATTTGTAAGTAATATGGACAATGCATGTAGTTCTGATTTATCTTTCAGTGATTTGATGCCACGCATACAATCAGGGACTGATGAAGAGCTTTTGAGTTCTGTTGTTTCAAAGGGCAAGGAGGAGCTGTGCTGCAGTTGGATGATTGCAACCTAGGGCTTGCCTGCATTCATTTCCTCTCAATCCCTTTGGCACTAGTAAGGTGTGGACCGCACAGGGGACATGGTTAGAGTTGGTGACACCAAAATGACTGTTTACAATCTTTGTGCAGTCTTTCAACAGAAGTTTCTTAGTTTTAATTTTTAAAAATCTCTGTAGTTAGTGATAACAACAAAAATGAATTTTGTAAGCCTTGTGTATTTGGGTCCATATACCTAAAAAATCGAAAACCCTATGCTAATTTACTTTTCGCTTTCCACTTCTGGAAAGAGTTGCAGTCTCAGACGCCCACCCTGTCCTCTCGGGGCGTGATCTGAATAGACTCAATAGTAGTGAACTTGTTAGAGCTGCCCATGCCTATGGCACTTGGAATCTCACAGCTTTGTCTACACCCTTCACAAGCATGCATTTGATTTTCATTGCTGCCAGTGACTTTACCAAACCCACACTCACTGCCACAGAGTTGATGGTCACTGATTTTTGTCACATTTGCTGATGTTTTAGCTACAGTGTTGTGGTAAATAATATTTGTGAATCTATAAGCAATTTGTACCTATGTTAATCATATGCTATATCTAATGAAAATTGATAATGCGTATTACTAAGGATCCTCAATGGTCCACGGGACAGTTTACTGGGTGACACTAATCCTAGCGAGGCCACTGGCTAAGGTAATAGCCTTTCCCCAAAACCCAATCAAGTCTTACAGTTGGCACTTAGAAGCAAGAAATTTTAAGGTATACAATCTACTAAAAAACAAACACGATATGAAAGATGTACAGGTTGGTAAACAAGCGGCCATCTAGCTCAGAAGCAACAAACCCCACATGGAAGAAGCACACCAGCCTGTGTGATCATGAGGTGTTAAAGGGATCAGGTATCAAAGAACAAAAAAATCAAATCATTTTGAATGATGGGGGCTGCAGATTGGGGACTCAAGACCCATCTGTAGGCAATTGGACATCCCCTTACTGAAGGGTCATGGGGAGGAGATGAGCCAGTCAGGGTGCAGTGCAGCAACGATGAAACATACAACTTTCCTCTAGTTCCTAACTGATTCCCCTCCCCTCTCCTCCACTATCATGACCCCAATTCTACCTTACAAATCTGTCTAGGCCAGAGGATGTACACTGGTACAGATAGGAACTGGAAACACTGGGAATCCAGGGCGGATGATCCCTTCAGGACCAGTGGTGAGAGTGTCAATACTGAAAGGGTGGAGGGGGGTGGGGGTGGGAAGGGGGAACCGATTACAAGGATCTACATATAACCCCATCCCTGGGGGATGGACAA